GCAATGGTGTTCTAAGGTGTCCAACCGCAGGCTAATCCATGCAGCATTGACGCACCGTCGGCTGCTAACCGGCTAATGGGCAAGAAGAGAAGGACCGTTTCCATTTCAAACGAGCTCCGTGTGCCGTCTGACCATGTCAGAATGACCAATCATCAAAAATTGAACGGTTGCATATTACATTTATATTGTTACATATATATATATATATATATATGTTTTTATGTATGAGATTTATTATTATGATTTATGATTGAGATTTGAAACTTGTTGCACGGGCACAGCTGAGCTACACTATACGCTGCACCGAGTGTGTTGTCCAACACTAATAAAATCTGTGAATTGGTTCCAAACACTTTGAATATTAGGGGGCGGGACAAACCTTCTGTTCTGAGTTTCTTGGGATGTGTGACCAAACATCGATGAACAAGGCTGGACAGCGGCTGGACGTCGTTCGATTGAAAACGGCCAAGAAAAAAACATGAATCAGGGCAGCCAGGATCAACAGCAGGGCCACAGCTTGCTTGGCAGCTGGCACCGCCTCCCAATTCGCATGGTGTTCCATGGGCCCATGTTTTTGACGGTTGACCTTTCGTGGTAGGGTTCTTGTTGCTATTTCCACCCGACCGGGATGCACGCGAAGGTGCTGCAAACACCTAGACAAAGCATCAGAACAAAGGCGGGAGCGAGGGGCGACAAAAAACAGAGGTTCCGGCAGGGGCTAGTCACAGCTAGTCCTTTGGGTGACCAGGTGGAAAAGGGTAGGCCATGAAAAGAAGAGTGACCCCCAGCTCTTCTTTCTGCTAGCGGTGTCACTGGGTGCCCTTCTTGGAGAATGCATGGTGGTGACAGATTCGTGCCGAGGGTTGCTTTGCAAGCTTGTTCTGAGAAGCAGAATGCCTTAAATTTCCTGAAATCATCTGAAATCCATGTTGGCTGGTTTTGCTAGGTCGCGAGCGCTTCCGCCATCGATGAGAGAATCCTCTCTGTCCCCTCTCGGACCCGGACCTACGCGTGGCAAAACGTCCCACAGCTCGGGATGGCTGCGGGCCGTTGTGTTGAACCCCTGGCAGGCCTGGCAGGCCGGGAACAGTCGGGTGGGGCGCCCGTGAAAACGGTCGGCCCTGGCAGACCGACGTGGCGGTCTTCAGACCGACACGGCCGAATGGCCGTTGACCACTTCTACACTTGAGACAGGTTTGCTTCAGACCTGGAGACTTAGTTTGGAACATGTAAGTTTTTGTTTTTAACTTTGATGATGTCTTCATAGACAACGATTGAAACAACTGCCGCAACAACTGGTCATTGGGGACAAGGCTGCCCAGTCAGACTTGTAAAGCCTCACTGCACACGGCAAAGTCACGTCACTAGACCTTGACATACTTGGACCTGTTCAATTTACATGCACTCCACCAAACAACCAAACATACAAACTAACCTGTGACCATCCATCTTACTTCGGGTGCCACATATACGCCGACGCACCCCAGCGAAACCCGCCTGCATCCTGCATGTTCACAGGATTGGCCCACGCAGTTCTGAACGGGGCAACGCATGTGATCAAGGAGGAAGGTTGGCAGTTTCGCACGGCTCTGTTTGGCAGTTTCGCGCCACCTTTCGAGACTGGCAAGTTACATGCCGAACTAACATGGAAGTGGAGAATGACCCCTTGGAAGACCATTTTCCACTACAAACAGGTGGTTTTCCACTTCCATGTTAGTTCTAGGGAGAGTAAACAAGTAATATTACTTGCGCCACAATCTGCATTAAAAAAACACGAGCTAGCCATTGCCAGGCCGCCTGCGCTATCTGCGGTGTGTCATCCATCACTTTAGGCCTTGGGTGTTCTCTTCGGTGTCCAAAAAGGCGGCGGTTCAAGTCAGTCTCTGACTGGGCCGAAGTCCTGGGCCTGCTTGGCATGAACCGTGCTGATGTTTTTCTGCGAGGTTTTCCAAGGTGCCAATCAGATCTGACCATCTGGTGCCGGTCACGTTGGATTTTTAATGATTTTTTGTCGTTGGTCAATGACATCTCTCTCTCTCCCTCTCTCTCTGTCAATGGGATCACGGGATCACATGAGATCACATGCGATCTTGGCTTCCGGAAGACATCGGATACGGTGCCGAAACGCTCCTGTTCCAAGTCCCTGAGACTCCCCACATCGAGAAGTCGGCCTCGAGGAGGTGGCGAAGGAACGGTGCTGGTGCTGGTGACAAATCGAAAGCACAGGAGTTTGGCTGCGAAGGTAAAAACTCGACTCATTGGAGTAATCTTGCTATACGATACTATATCTTGCCTCGGCATGTTGCACACTGATCATTTCCGAATATCATCTCCGGATACGATCTCACGCACCTGTGGCAGCGCATAAGTCTTTGGCGCTCCATCATACTCCTGCGCACTCTTCTTTCCACCCAAAACACGGATTCAGGGCACAATGCGGCACCTGGAGCTGTTGGATGAACCTATGCCTGTACTGGTAGGTGCTTTCAGTGCTTTCAACCCAATTGAAAAATATGTGTCGGTGGTTTCTATATATAAATCATCCCCACTAAACGTTGAACACAAAAATGTCTGAAAGCAACGGCCAGTATATCAATATCAGTCTACGTCTGAACCACGATGTGTTTGATCATGTCTCCCGTCCAGGACGCTGACCCCTTTTTTCAAGCCTGGTCTGAACATCGATCGGGAGCTCCCATCAGCCCGGTTCACTTGCGCAGAAGAGACAGGTGAGTCTGCGAAGTGAACCGGTTCTGGGAACTTTGGCCATATTCTCAAAAGCGGCTGTGCTTAACTCCAGAAGTTTGGGCCTTCGTTTTGCGGCCACGCCCCCCTGTCAGCCGAAGGACCCACTTCTCAAAATGCCTACGGCGGTGCACAGAAATGCAGGGAAATGGCTTTCACAGGTCCCAAATCCACTGGGGTTCCGAGAAATGCGCAACTCATCCTCCAGCTGAGCGAACAAGTCCACCTCCAGTTGAGCTGGCCTTGGGACTTGTGATGACTTGGGTCATGGCTGTCCAAATGCGACTCCAACGTGGATTGTGGTGGACATCGTCTGACATCGTTTGCTGCCTCAGCGTTACACCAATTCGCTTTTGGGACACCTACCATACCCCCGAAAGCCTGTGCTCAGCACCCTCAAACGTTGGCATAGGCTGATGAAAGGCCACACTGGTCAAAAGGGCAGTGGAGCCAGTTGGTGCTGCTCTTCTCAAAAAAGAAACACCAGGGCCTGCCTGGCCTAAGTGACCCAGGGGAGTGACCCAGGGTTTCTGGACAACTGACTGTCCCAAGTTCAGTGGTCCATGTTGGCTACTGCATGTATCGGTTGTATGATCATTGGCTTTGTGGGGGCTTACGATCTTCATTCCCGAGAGATGCACAACTTGCCTCTGTGCGTGCCAAGTGCCGGCAAAAATTGATCACAATCACAAGCTGTAGATGTGGAGGATGCTTTTTTGGTTGCTAGTCACGTGTCCCTTTCATACTTGTGGCCAACATTGTTTCTAATCAAATCTTCTCATTTCTGTTCTTCATGCCTCTGGCTGCATATAAATATGTGTTTTCCATACATGAACATATATCAATACATAATACTACATATGAATATTTATTGAATATTTATTTAAGAATTACAGTATACATAGTTATAGAAATATCTATATCTATATCTATATTGTGTCTACATGTTAATGCTCCACATAAGTTTTGCCCAGCCACTCGCTGACCTGCGCCTGCGCCGTCACCTGCGCCAAGTTGAAAGGCTGAAACGAGCGGGCTCAACGAACCAGGCCCATCGAGCCAGCCCTAATTACTCGTCGTTTTCGGCGCTTGAATTGGCCTCCAACCTAATAGCAACGGCCTCCAACCTAAGAGCGATGGCCTAGACACGTCTAAGCACTCCCCCATCTGATTCAAACTGCGAAGCGGAGAAGTGAAGCGCACTTCATGGAGACTGCTGCGAAAGTCGCAGTCTGAAATCGAACGTATGCTTCCGGCCTCTCTGAGGGGACTGTTTCGAAATGCACTGGAGACGAAGGCACACATGCAAACAAGAATGTGTAAACTCCTTTGGACTGTGCACTCATTTCATCATCTTTCCCAAATGTAAACAGCCTCGATTGGCTCGTGCTCAGGCATTGGCTCGGGTGTCCTCCGCTTCATGCAACGTCTGAAGTCTGGAATCAATTTAAAGTCTAAAACACCTTCGAAAATCAGTCATTAACTTCGAAAATAGAGCGTGCAGCAAAACATCATCAATATTGTTCGGCCGTATGTGATTATGCGTGTCAACATGCATTGCAATATATTGTAATAGTGTGACACCTCCTCTCACCCCACCCACAGCCCAGGGCTTGTCCAAATTCTATATAATCAATTCATATCACATGATATCACATGAACATCCTGCGAACTCAACTGCTGTGGCCACAGGTCATTGGAACTCAGCACTTGGGATTCGACCGACCCGTTTTCCGACCCTCACACTGGTGCATTCAAGCCACTCGCTGGGGTGCACATCTTCCACCTCGAGGGGTGCGATCCATAACGACATGTGGCGACCGGATCGATCCAAAACGCAGCGTCGCAGCGTCACCCAAAAGGTCCTGCAAAGGATCTGCACCCTAAGTGTAGTTCTACATGAAAATCACCTTTACAGGATAGGGCACTAGGACAGGTCGACTAGCTGATTTCGACTACAACGTCCGAGGACAAGTCCTGCAGGCTGCAGGGCGATGCAGCGATATGCAGCGGTGATCGGGTGCCCATCAAAAATGATCGAGACCGTGTTTCGATCCGGTGTACAACCGACTATAGCCCAGTGTTACGCATCTGCATCCTTTGACTAAATATACCGGGTTCATGAGGATTGCAAAATCATCTGCCTCTTCAGGCCTCTTCCAAAGGTCTTGGCAGAACATGTTTCGTGTATTGTGAGGATTGCCCGTTGGCGCACACAAACAATGCTTACACTCCAAAATACAACAGGACATGGGCATGGAAACTGTGGAAACTTGGGATCTACAGGTGTGTTCCCCGAAGCCTTCTCACTTGAAAATCCAGCCTTCTCACTTTGTCTCAAACATGTCTGCGACTCCCTGCCTCACTGGAAGTACTATCGTGGACACTCGACTGCCTAGGAAGAAGCAAAAAACGCTGGGGGAAAGCGTTGTGGTCGCCATGAACACGAAGTTGTGGGCTCGTTTTTGGTGCAAACTGGCAACGCATTCCCACACTTGAAACATCAAGAACAATGTACAGTAACACAAGAGTGTATACCCAATGGGATAGCGCTAGCGACGCATACACGGTGCCTCTTGCGTCTTGGCGGAATCTGAGTCAACCCTGGGCACGCGGACATGCTCTCCAACTCAGGTATCCTGCAGTTCTGTTTTTCAGCCAACATGTCTTGCTCTCGGTCCCCACATGCCCCTGCAACAAAACTGTCATCATGGACGCAGCTTTCTGCAGCTATCACGTTCATAATAACTAATGGTGATATCGGGAAAGAGTTCATTTCAGGCGGTTAGAATCACTGCCCATAAAACCTTGATACCCATATGGCCCATGCGGCTCTACCAGCAGCTTGTGGATGGAGAGTGCATAGAAACCGTGAGTTTGTCTGAATCTGGATCGCTAGCCAATCAACAGCGCTAATTGGTCGCGGCAACAACCCACGCTAACCCAACTCCTCATAGGAACATCTGGCTCAGGTGGCTCATCATCCGGCATGCCCATCATTCTGCCGTTTGCGTTCATTCGCGCATGTTCGCTAATGCTGTTTGGGAAGTGAACCAACTGTTGCCTGTTCTTCGTCAAGAGTGCAGTGAATCTTGCGGAAAGCGACGGGCATCTTTGGAAAATGCCAACTGTTGGTTCCTCCTCTATGAGTGTGTATGGGCCTAGCCACACGCACAGTTAAATCCATGCCCGTAAGCGCTATATCAGTTTGGAAATTTGCGAGGGCTAGTTGCTGAATACATAGCACTTGACTTGCAGAAACCGTAACAAGTGAGGGGTCAGCTCAACAGAAGGTTTCAACAAGGACTCATTAGCACTTTAACATGGCAAATACGTTTACACAAGCGCTGCGTGAGAGTCTTCGTTGGCTCTCGTCTCATGCAGACTCTGAGAGCCCCCTGCAAACTGTACAAGCGTGGTCAATTCTTTGAAACAGGAGGTGACCGGGGCGAAAATGGTGGGCACTTGACTGAAAAACCTAGTTACAAACCTAAAAAGCCTCTAGAACGAAGAAGAGCCAAGAAAGAGAAACGACAGCAGGAAACACGGGGGGTTGGGTGGGTAGGGGTGTGCACTGATTAAGCGAGTGTAAAATGTCGACCTAACAAGCCTGAAGGAAAGACCAAGCAAATGAAAAGGGCAAGGAAAGAAAGGGTGTGCAGGGGCGTGTGTGGGGTGACCGGCTCGGGCCCGAAGGCACTTGACCAGAAAGCCGACACCGGCGCTCCCTGGACCAAAAAGCCTCAGTTGCACATAAAGGGCCTTTAGAAACGAATTATTTTGCTTCAACTAATCTCCACCATCGATTTTGTACGGTTTGTTTTTGGAAATTTATTTGCCCCATATTCTGCAATTCTTTGTGATAAAATCTTGCAGGGACGAGGAGGGGAGGAAACCCTGATGAAATCTAGAGACCTGGTTGCAGCGGGGACCACTGTGATTCGGAGCTCGCATTTGAGGTCCGGCGGGGAACACTGACTGAGATCTGGAGCTCGACGTTCTATCTCGCAAAACATTCTTTCTGACATTCTATCTGACATATCTTCTGACATTCTCTCTCACATTCTATCTCGCATTCTTTCTGGCATTATTTCCGACATTCTATCCGGCATATCTTCTGACATTCTATCGGGCGCTATATTTGGCATTCTTTGCAGTGCCCACTGCGATCGCGAGCTTGTGGTTGAGGTCTAGCGCCCACTGCAATCAAGAGTTGGCGAGGAGATGGCGAGGAGGAGGAGGAGAATTAAGGAGGAGGAGAACAAGAAGAAGAAGAAAAGGTGGAGGACCAGGTGACCAGGGCTCAGATAAAATCTAACAGTCTAACAACCCTCACCTGGCAGGTGGGGAAGAAAGAAATAGAAAACGAAGAGAAACCAAAGGAAGAAAAGCAAGACAGCAATGTATACCTAGCCGCATTACATGAATCTGTACAAAAGAATACTTAAACGAATGAGAGGCACGTCATTCTTGGAAGTGTTCTCTGTAAGCCCCGCGCTATATGAGCAAACAATCTCAAGAAAGGAGGGAGAGCCGGGAGAGAATCCAAGCTGAACGATCAAGGTTTGACAATTCCTCATTAAGGCTCTATGCTCAACGCACCCCGAAGGGATCACACAGCACACCGCAGAGGGACGATGCTGCGAGACACACTTAGATCCATGCTCACAAGAGCTATAAGGAAATTCCCGAAAGCTAGTTGCTGAATACATAGCACTTGACTTGCAGAACCCATAAAAGTGAGGGGTCAGCTCAACAGAAGGTTTCAACAAGGACTCATTAGCACTTTTTACTGGCGAATTACAAGGGCCACCAGCTGCGTCTTACAAAGCACCCAGGTGCACCATGGCAGGTGCGTTTGCACTAGCACTGCGTGAGAGTCTTCGTTGGCTCTCGTCTAATGCGAGCTCCGAGTGCCCCTGCTTACTGTACAAGTGTGGTCAATCCTTTGAAGCAGGAGGTGACATATATATTTTTTTATCACTACAGTATATATTTGTGTTTGAATATGTTTGAATATATAGTATAGATGCACATACACAAACCGATCAAATGCAACAAGTTTCCAAACACGATCTGGAGTTCTGAAGATATCCACACAGGCCTGCTGAATGAATTCTTCTCCATCTGATCCACCTCCTGAAGTGCTGATGGTGTTGCTATCATACGACCAACCTATCCAACCCTCCATAAAACCTTGGCCGCTTGTCCGGGCATCGCACAGATTATTCAAGACAGCTTCTATTTGGTTTGTCCAGGATGCCTTTGCGGCAAGTACACATGACATATTGCCAATCGAACCTGCAACATCTTGAATCGATGGAAACTATTGGTCTTGTAGCAACTGCCGCCAAACCGGTGCTTGCGAACACATGCTGCCCAGGCGCTTTGGACCTCCCCTCAGCCGTGGTTTGGCCGGAAAAAAGAACCAAATGCGTCTCCGGTGAAACGTGCGGTCGGGGGACGCCCTTCAACAACTGGCTGGACATCGTGGGGCTCGAGTTCGGAAAACGTACTTGGCCAAAGAACACCCATTCGCCCAAACCGACAAAACCCATCACCCGAAGAGCCAGCATTCAACACATGTTTGTGTCATTCCAGAATCAATGGTCCCGGTGCAAACCTGTGCCATCTTGCTTGAAAGATTCAGCTTTACAAAATCATGACATCTCATTTCACTTACACTTACACTGCTCTACACACTCACTAGATAGCACAAGAGCGCTCTACCCCACCAAAAAAAAGACATTTGGGTCAAATGCGCCCGCGCCGAAGGTGCCCAGGGCGTTGTGGAGGCTCGCGTCAACAGCAACCGAAAGAAATCTGCTAGATATCATCGTCGATATTCAGGGTGAGGGGTTGGGGCCCCTATTTGGTAGTAAATATCACTACAAAATGACAGCCACCAACGTCCCATCCCTACAAAATGATTCAAAAAAAATTTGGACTCATTTTGTACGGTTGGGCTAGGCCAATGCTACAAAATGAGGGGGGCCCAAGGTCACTGATAGCTACAAAATGGTATGCCATGCAAAAATCAGGTACTCATTTAGTAGTGAAGATGAATGCATATGAAAATCAGCAACAACAGTCAACACACCAGCAAGACCCTGTCACACCCACCAAGTTCCACCTGTCAAAGCTACCCCTCCACCCTCCACCTTTGCCCTTTGAGCCA